AATATGCGTAAACAAACTTACTTGACATAGAAGACTGTAGGCCCTTCCGGCGCTTGTTAAACCCATATTGAGTAGCGCCTCTGGCTGACAACTGAATATTCTGTTAGAACGTCCTCCCAAGTCCCCCGAAATTCCCTAATTTATGGTTTTATTTTGCTGATTCAGCCTTGACGAAAGAGGGTGGGTGACTCTCCCCTCAGTGTCCTCAATCCTCATAATGACCTCCTCATTGGCTCTCATGGGTGGTTGTGGGCGGACCCCTTGCGTCTGATTGCTGTGTCTGCCGCAATATTACGATATTCCAGTGGCCCAGTGAGACAAGCGCTGGCTGGAGCTCTTACGTATGAATGCTGATCCCACGCATTCTTAGCCTACTTGCCAGTCCTGGTGTTACAATTTACTGTAATAGCTGCGAAACTCTTTTCGCAAGTCTCTGGCTTTTTTGGGTAATACCATCCTCTTTCTAATCTCAAATTTGGGGCATAACAGGGAATGAAGAAAGTCGTCTTCTGGGTTTAGGCACCGTTTAGGCCAAAACGAAGAATACACGGTGCCTAAACCCAGAAGACGACTTTCTTCATTGTCATCGCCGTGAAAACCTCAAAACTTAAATAGTGGGAATACTTTACAAAATTTGTTAATTGTTTTCATCCCATATCTTGAGATATGTTTGCAGATGAAACTTGATATTTTGCATTTTTTTTGCAGTATATCTGCTGTAATGGATTGGCATGTGTCTTCATTTCATAGTTTGAGACAAGCTACACTAGCGATTTTGATACTGTAAATTTGCAGCATCATGTAGCCCCAAGAAGTATAGTCAAATGGATTTAAATCTGGTGTTCTTGGAGCCCACTGTATTCTTCCCCTTCTCTCAGTCTGCTGTCCTGGATATGTTTGATGTGGAACACTGTATTGCATAAACCATTCTGGTTTACCTCAGAATATATCAAGCTCTGGCATTATCTTATCCCCTAGCATCTGCAGATAACTTTCCCCAGTCATAGTGGCAGTAAAACAGAATGGACCAATGACTTTTGTATCCCAAATACCACATCACACTATTATGCTCTCAGTTTGCTTCCAAAAACCAGTGTGGATTATCTTTCAAGCAGTATCTTCAGGTCTGTCTGTTAACTTCTCCACACACAAATTTGTGTCATCTTGAAACAATGCACCATGAAATAAATTTTTGTTTTGTTCAACAATACAGAATATTAATTTTAACCAAAACCATATGGTTTCATACTTTACAGAGTTTCTGTATAATTGCTGTGC